TTCTGTAATTATTTTCGTCATGCAAACGATCTGATGACAAGTCTGGCTGTTTATTATTTAAATAAGCCGGTTTTAGTGTGTGACTACTTACAGTGTCTGTGTTTTCATGTTTTGTACGCCGAAATATGTAGGTTTCCTGAAGCGAATTTGAGTAGAACTTCGAATGGAGGGTTCAGTAGTGCTTCTACGTTGTCACATTTTATCCAGACATGCATGTAAGTGCTTAGGGCCCTGGGCATGTGTGTAGCTCACGAGTGTTCACCAATATTGACCGGCTTAAGTCTGGACATTTAGTTACGTAGTTGACCGACATAACTTTGCAGTTCCAGCTTTTTATTTTCAATACGAAGAATGGCGAACTCTTCTAGCAGTCTTAGAGTCATCTCAAAGGTTAATTTAGCTGGTGAACACTGTGAATCAGTTTTACCAGTTGCTATTTTCTCAACATAACTAATGGCAGGGATTCTGTCGGCTGAGTGCAGTTGGAGTGCAGCAATGAGGCAACGTTCGACTGATAACGGAAACATTCCACAATCCCATCAGCCTGAGGATGAAATGGTATATGTTTTTCAGAGTCTGTGGTATTTTTTAATTAATTTTATTTGCATACGCCAACCTAGGTGAGAGTTTGTCTATCCCTTAACTGTTTAGCATTCTTAACAACCTCAGAAGTTAGCTTAGATTCTTTTGTCTTTCCCCTGGGGGAATATGCTAAAGGTTGGATTAGTTGTGTATAACCAGGTATGAATCAACAATCAAAGTTAAATAAACCTAGAAAACGTTTAGTTTGTGTTAAAGAGCTTGGTATGTTGCATTTCCTGAGGGTGTCCACACCTTTCATCGTTGCTATCCCTTCTGGTCTTATTGTATATCCGATAAATTCCAGGGTTTAAACACCAAAAAAACTTGATGTATATTCATTCCGTTTTCATCTAGTTGCTTTAAAACTTCCCTACCAATTATTCGTATGATTGGCAATTAACAAATCGTCTACACAACCCTGTGACGAAGGCATGTGCTGAATTAGGTTGTTCATAAATCTTTGAAATATTTTTGATGCGTTCCTCAGGCCGAACAGCATGCGTACGAATCCAGACAGTACGACAGGTGTAGTAATAGCTGTCTTAGGAATATCTTCCTCATCACTTGGTAAACTGTGATGTGTTCTGACCAAATCACCTTTGGTAACTATGTCCATGCCCCATAGGCCGTTTGTAAAATCTTAGATATGAAGTACTAGTTACCCATATAGTACTGTTAAAATGTTGAGGGGTCGGTAATCCTCACACGGTCGACAATCACCTTCATTGTTCTTTGGGAACATATTCAAGGGGGATGGTGTATACAAACTACTTGCAAGTATCGAGTTTGGGGTACTATAGAGATCGATTTATATGAACTTCAGTGATTATATGGTATCGAGATCAACTAAACTTACGTACCATAAATATAAGTGACATGGTGTTGTATGATGCTTTCGGTTAAACCAACCTTTGCAAGATGATAAACAGTGAGTGATGTTCATGTGATTACCAGGGAGAGCCCAAGTTGTAATCAAGAGAAAAACAGCTCCTAACTCATGTCTATGATAATGGCTTGAACCTTAGTCGATGTTGGAGTATATTCGACAGCGCTTTTAGTCGGCAAGGGATTTGCTCGACTGTTTATACTGATGATTTGCATACATGATTGTGTCGCTCAACCTCCAATTAGACTGACAAGGTTTTAAGATATTTAATTGGTGAGCAACTGATAGAAAAGCAAACTGAAATCATAAGCAATAAATAAAGATAATGAGGAAGCAACACTATTTAATGATAATTATGAATCAATTTGTTGAACGATTTTGTCAATAGTCTCGTCAATTTTACCAATCATATTACGTGATTGTCAATTCATGACAATGCTTTACGACGATATCCTGAAACCATAATGAATAACTAGTTAGTGCTGATTGAGGATGTGTTAGTGGGAAATAGGTATCGTTTTCTGATGTGATTAGAAATCGTCAGAAATTTGTAGCGTTAACGAATCCGAGCCGTCTGATTGTATAACAAATGACAACTCAGAGATATTTGTTCACTTATTGTTAATTTTAGCGGTGGGTTCTAGAGCTTTTTATCGCAAACGCCTGTTTGACTAACAAGTACATGATAAATTAGATATTATACCAGTGCAATACGATAGCATCTTAGTGCTGTGACATTGTTATTTCAACCATGTTAATTCTTTTTAAGTAAACTAATATGGGAACCCAATCTGTAAACCCGAACACGCATAGCAATAACCATTACGATGGGTTTAGTGGAAAATGTTAAAAGCGATACAAGTAATTGTTAAATTCAAATATCGTAAGGATGATATAGTGTAACGAATTTACATACCAGGTCAGCATGTAAGTTGATGAGGAATATAACAATTAAAAAAAACTTGGTAGAAAAAATTTACAAAGTTGAACATTATTTGCGGAACTACAGTTAGGAACATGAGAGATATAGTATAGAATTTTCATGAGCGGTCACTTTAGTTGGTCTAGTAATAATCATAAATATGTGGTAATGGTAGCCAGAACTAAGAAATGTCGAATTTACTTCGAACCTTACATGTTTCTCTTGAAAACAGAACCCTAAAGTTGGTATGTTGTCATTTGAAGCTACTAAATATATCTTACACTGTCAAGGGTTTTGCAAGTAGTTCATATGAAATATATATCTAGTCCAAATAAAAATATATACATGTTACGAGGTATGAAAAATATGGTAAACCATCCACCAAAATAGTAAAACTATCTTAGATTATTTTTAAATTTAGATAGTTCGATAGATCTGACGTATAAAACCCCAATTGTGACAAATAGGATACTGTAAGCCATAAGAAGGTCACCTCTAAAACGTCTATACTACGACGGGCAAAGGTTAGGTGATTAGCGGCGCTCTTAATAAGGTTTGAACTTGAGTCCACGAACCGATTTCGTGGCTTTCCGCTGGATACGTTCCAGAGTGTCCTTATGCTTTTGAAGTGAGAAAGGAAATACTATGTTTCCGTACTCTAAATAGGGACGAATAAAACTGTTGAAGATTATGTGGAAGGTTCTACAGTCAAACTGGCTGAAAATGCGCTTCAATGTTACCAGTGCAAGGTTTGCTCGAAAGGCGTTTTTGTCACAGTTAGCGTACGACTTCAAGTCGTAGGATACCACCACTTTTAATTCTTTTTCGACTTGAGTTACTTCTAGTGAGGAGTTTCCTAAGTTATAACTGTAGTCTGCAACATGTCTCAGATGGACCACTTTACACTTTGAAGTGTTGAAGGTAAGTCCGTTGTCGTCTGCCAAACTTTGAAGTTGATTCAGAAACTCCTGAAGTTCCAGTATATATTCTTAGTTGTGTATCTCTCTCCAAAGTTTCACATCATCAGCAAAAAGTAATAAGTCCGACGAAACTTGTTGTGGAAGATCGTTTATATAAATGAAGAAGAGAAGAGATCCTAGTATTGAGCCCTGGGAGACCTCACTAGAACATTTCATAGCCTGAGAGAAAATGAAGTTAACCCTGAACTTAAAATGTCGATTTTTTAGATATGAAGTGAGCCAGTCAATCAAAAGGGCTTTGATACCCAATCGTTTGAGCTTATTGATAAGACAGATGTGGTTGACCCTATCAAAAGCTTTTGAGAAACCAAAGTTAATGATGCCAACCTTCCCCCTGCGATCAAGCATGGTTGTGAATCTGTTCACCGCAGTCAGCAGGTCGGTTATACTAGAGTGACCCTTCCTAAAGCCATGCTGTTGGGATGAGCACTTTAGGGATAATAAGTAGTAGTGTATACCATCGCATATCAGGGACCCCATAATTTTAGAAGATATAGGGAGAAAAGCCGTCGGTAGCATGAGGGTTCGATGCGTCGACATCCTTTGAAAACTGGTGTGATCTGATCCTGCTTCCAAATTTCCTGTAGTTTGCCTCGACTTAGCGAGTGTGAGAACGTCACGCTAAGCGGTGTTTCAATGATTGAAGCTGATTCCCTCAGTATAGCAGAATGAACCATATCTGGACCAGGAGAAGTGTCTTTTCTTAGGTGCTGCAGTTTACGGAACACCAGGTCAGCGCTCAGGTTCACTTGGGAAATTCCTATGAAGTTGCATATGAAGCTGTCATCAGCGTAGTTGGTGCGAGCCGGTTGAGATGTTCGAGAGTATTGTTCAGCCAAAAGGTGAGCCGCATCCCCGTCATTACTAGCCAAACCATTAGCACCTAGATGTTGGGAAATTCCAGTTTTGGCTCGTCGAAGAGAAGCTGCATAACAGAATAAGCTTTTCGGATCAGAGAAGAATTTATCAATAAGCTTTATCTGCAACCGAGGCCTGTCTTCTCTTATTGCTTTTGTGCATATGTTCCTTATATGTTTGTGTTGTCTGTACGCGCCGTTGTTATCGGTTCTTTTGTATTCTGCCTAACAGTGCATTTAGCGGCTTAGCAAACGAAGAGTGTGGTTCTTGATGATTGTAGGTTGCTTGTAGCTCTTGGGGACCTTTTGAGGAACTGAATGCTTAGTATTACATAAGAGCATGTGCAGTAAGAAATCCCAATGAGCATCCACTTCAAGTTGAGGCTGAAAATCCCAATCCACCTGCTGCAGATAATCCTGTAAAGCTGACACATTCAACCGTTTGAAATTCCAGCACCTGTTTTTGGTGGGATATCTTAGCTCGGCTGTGCTGAAGAAACTGAAGGATATAATGGCGTGATCGCTTTTCCCCAGGGTAGCCGGAATTGATAGGTTGTCGATTAGGAATTTTCCGTTTGTAAATACCCAGTCTGAGCGCGACGGCGTCTGACTGCTTCTCCAATGGCAAGAAAAATGAATTTCAAAAACTAAGGAAAGACATGGTTATCAAACTGTTACAAATATTTTTAATCTTAACGGTAACACTGGTCTGTTGTTTGTTTGCTTCACTAGGTTTGGGGGCACTCACTACAAATATTTTATATGAAGGCGGGATGGATGTAGGTGATTCCGTTGTATTTGTCTTTCATGTGCATAATAAGATTATCATATTAAAATTCTACGTCATCTTCGTAACCAACATCATCGTTAACCTTAGGGTGTTCCACTCGAAGTTGATGCATGGTAAAGATTTAAGTCTCCTCTAGTTGTCTTATGTGCACCACCAATACGGTTTTCTTGATCGTTATCAACTACCTCGTAGACTCAGAATCAGTGTTTGCTGCCTGATTTCTTTTTAACCAGAACACCACATTCCTCCATGCTGTTGTGGTGCTTATTCGAAACGGCTCTAATTACGGTACTGTGAGTAGGATTCACTTTGTCGCTCGATCTAGATATTCTTAGTTTAACACCTTAATATGATTAATTTGAATTTGTCATTCAGCTTGCTTACATTTCCTCGCTCTGTTATGTCAACTCTCCAATCACTTGCATCGGAAGCTTACATCTGGTGGAGTGTTATATTATCTCACCATATGTCATTGGGAGGTCTGGTTTAGATGAAGCTTAACATATCCCGCCACGAAACCCCTTAAGAATCACTGCTATTGTTACAGCATCCTTACATTGTGGTCAGGAAATATAGCAGCCTTTCTGTGTAACTAGTTACATGATACTAATAATTTGTCGTTCTAATAATAAAGTAGCTATCCACATGCAACCAAGTTTGTCCCTAGTCTTTTAGTCCCAACCTAGTTTGATTTGTTTCTCGACCTAAAAGTAGTCACGGATTTTTGCGTAAAATTGCTTTTCTGTTCATTCCATTTTGACAGTCCACTTTTGTTCCACATACAGGTGCATTACAAGACGTATGCTGGCAGGAGTAGCCGTGATATCAGGTTTGATCAGCTGCTGCACACAAAACCCTTATCTGGCTCTTCATCCACAGCATTCTCTAAATCAAGTGTGAGTTCCAGGAAAAGGGTCAACGTCGTTTCCTTTGTACCCACTGGTGAGGGGCAAGAATTAGTAACCAAATCTCCTGATAAAATCGTGTCAGAAAATTCAGATAGCTCTGCCTGTGCAGGTGCAGTGCAGACAAATATATCTCAGTCATATTTGACTCATTCCTCTACTGAAGGTGTTACCACCGGCTCACCCAACCTGTCATACTCTAGTGCACATACAGAATGTCCCAGTCGTCCACCAAATATTAATATGACAAACAACAATCCTTTTGGTCACCCTTCTGACTGCACATTAGATGTGCGTTCCGTTCGGAGTACAAATTTCAAGTCTGATCATTGCCGGTCAAACATTGCCTTAACTCCGCTGTCCTCCCACACTCCTACTATTCAACGCGTTTCATCCCCGAATTCCCATCGAAGCGTCACCAATTACCACAGTCATCCAGTATGTACTTCAAAACCTGCTAGTCAGCCAAAATTGCAAGGACCAGATAAAAATGAAACCAGTTTGGTTGTGACTATACCAAACAGTTCCTTAAAAACACAGGCATTCGTTGACATCTCCAAGAATAGTCGTGAACGGAGTTCTCCTTACTCTTGTCCCGCCTTAACATTAGAACCTGAAATTGCTTCAGATGCCAGCGCTTCAAAATCGTTTTCACGACCAATTCTCAGCGGTAAAAACAAAAGAGTAAGCGACACAATTCTCTTTTGGAATGTTTATACAGTCCTGAACACAATTTATGTTTTCACCCTTTTTAATCGATTTCGGTAACAAAACTATCACCTGGTCCATCTTGTAGCGTATATATATATATATATATATATATATATATATATATTCCACATTTTATTTCTAAGAATCAGTGTTGCTACTTGGCTAGGTATCAAATTAAACGAGCAAATGGACCTGAGATTCGCTAATTGCTTTCCGTGTGCAAATTGTGTACCATTACGTATATGCCTAAACTTGCGGCTGATGGAAAATTGCTCCGAATATTTCATCGCCTCTAAAAGCATGTGTGGCGACAGAAATTGGCTGTATAATGTCAAACATTGTTCCACAAATTTTGATAAAACACTTTTTTTAACGTCCTCATTGTGTTTTGACAAGTTTGTATTGGCAGAACCAACTGTCATTTTAAATTGTAACTTACAAGTTCCAGTTCTGCTAAATCTTAAGTAGGTGGACCGGGGTTTGAACCCGGGACTTGGTAGTTGTCAAACCTCCTAACTACTAAGCCGCTGCTCCACATAACCGTGGTTTCCGACTGGGGGAACATGGTTAAAAATGGTCAAATCAATATAAACCCCCAAGTCCATAAAGTCACAGATTGTTGGTCTAGGTTTTGTTAGTGTCGATCTAAAGTCATAAGAATTACAGTCAGCAATTTGGGAATATCTTATGTGATGAAGTCTGACATTAACAATAAGGACAATTATATTCATTCTTTAGCTTTCGAAACTTCGCTCACCTCTTTATTTGCCATCTCTTTGCCTTGTCCTTTTATTTTTGTTCTGTTACAAAGTATTGTAGCTTGAGCTGATGTAATTTGGCTTAAGATTGTCAGTTTATCCATTTGTTTAGAATATATGATAATTCCTTTTTCATGGCAAATAAAGTAGGACTTGAAACTTGCTTATTAATCCAAATCACATTTCACATCACAAAGTGAACTTAACAAGATTATAATTAAAAATATTAAAACGAAAGTGGAAGTGAAAAACGACCTATGAAATGTACTCAAAGGGTTCCAAGTGTTGTTGAAGGGGTATTCCGAAATGACGAATAAGTCCAGGTATTTAAATGTGTAATAATAATACACCAGAACTTCGATAACTAGATGTGCATCACCCCTGTGCTCTAGGTAGCGCAAACTTGTAAAAATCAGGCATTTATATATTTATTTGAACACAAATATTGGTACAAGAGGGCACCAGATATATATGCGCCACGCAAACATTGTCACTTCATTTTTATTGTGAATGGGCTGTGGTACTGTCTGGCTTCAAGTGGTTTTCCTAGTGGGCCACACTCTGAGCCTTTGACGTAAAGGTCTGATCCACAAGCCAGTGGAGCATCGTGAGGGGATGCAGTCCTATGGTAACCGGTGATCAATGATTAGTTCATACGCCATTTGTTCCTCCAGGATACTGGAGTCAGCCCATGTGCACAATTGGTTTGGAATGAGGGTTTTCCAACTCCCCTAGGTGGACTCGTCGTGTCCACCGAGCCGGTTAAAGCACCGGACATTCGCTTTTTGTCCTCTCAATTTCGTAAACAACAGAAATGCAGCGAGAATGCAGTGTGTAGGACTTCCTTGGTAGAGGCTGTAGACGCATGGTCGTGTGAGAGCATTTCAAGAGGACGGGCCCTTCCCACTCTCGACCGTACCAGGACATTTGTGGGCAAAATCAAGCGAGCTTTTTGCATATGTCTTGATTTTCCTTTAGACATCAACTGATTTGGTTAGACTCTCGATATAATTGAAGTCGTCTCGTCCGGCCTCGATCGCTTCTAAATGTTGATCATGGGTATGTCCGCATGGTTAGGGGAATGAACTATGACCAAAATATTGGCCGAATCGGTAAACGTTTAACTAGTATGATCGGTAGCTACTAGATGTAAGCTATAATCCCGTGGTCCAAATACCTGGCATCCCACTATTAGACCATAGGTTTGAACTCCACTAAATTAGACTTAGAAAACCAAACAGCCTAAGTAACTTCCGTAGCTAACTTTAACGTTCCAGTAAGTAATCACCATGAATAGGACCACTAAGATTAGATACTAGTAATCCTGTTGAATATTTTCCATGAAAAAAACAAATGCCAAGCTATAAGTACCACATATATAATATGCTCCTCCTGGACGACTATTAATTTTTCTTGACATGTGATGTATGCTTTTGCTAGATCCTGCGTTGATTATGATTAACTGTCTGACTACGCCGATGTGAAATGCGATGACCTCAGCCAGTGTACATTTGTTTCGTTTTAAATGTGAATGCATAGTGTAGGTGTAACTACACACATTTTCTGCAAGAACTAAATTTATATCGTATATAGTTATTCATATTTGGTACTCATCTAACCAAATTTTGTTAGTGATTAAATACAATTTTAAAACCTGTGTTATTTTTAAATTTATTTTATCAGGCAGCCTACAATCCACGTTCTTGGCAGAAAGAAATTGAAACAGAGGATAGTTCCCCAACGAAGCTGGTAGGTTTCCTTTTTTGTTTGCATACCTAAGTAAGAACAATCTTTATGAAATTGACATTCCGAATTATTTGAGGTGTTCAACTGATAAGTGCTGGAATAAAGAACGAACATACAAGCAGCCAACCTTGATTACTATGAGTCATATAAAAGGTGCATCATCGAGTCCGTGGTCTTGAGAAAGCAAAACTCCTTTAGAAGAGATTATTAATAATATCAGTCTTTAGTAATAAGCATATTAGGCTGTCCAACCTGTGTTAATCCTTTCGACTCGTTTTCCACTGACGATCCAGCTTTTTAAAAGTGTTGATTGATAGGACTGATACCACTTGTTCGGGTAGGGCGTTCTAGTCACCAAACACTAGATGAAGAAAACGGAATCCCATTCTAAGTTTATTTGATTCCTGTTTTTTGACTTTGCTGTGGTCTCGCAGATGATTAGCTCTAGAGAGAGCGAAAAGATAAAACATGTCAACATCTAAATCATTATTTAAGACACCTAATGCAAATATGAGCTCATCTCGCGTCCTACAATTGGAAAAGGTTTAAGCGCTCATCGTAAAAGAGTTTGGAAAAACCCTTAACTAATTTAGCTCCCACGCGTTGAAGACTCTTGAATGTGTTGATAACCCCAGTAAAACTACTTGGATACAGTACTGTGAGGTCTCATATAGGTGGGCTATAAAAGCTGAAATGTGTCAAGGTATTTGAATGCTCATGACACTCGAAGACTTTTGGTAGCTGCTGCGTTGCAATACTCAGTTGTGACTTATTATTTTGTAAATCATGTTCAAGTCTTTCATTTGTGTTGCTATCTTCCGCTTCCCACTAACTATTGGAAGCGTTTTTTGAGTGTTCTTTTCGTTTTGACTCGAACCAATCCATTCATTCATACTATCTCATTTGTCTTGTGAGTTTTTCTCTCACAGTTGCATTCACATCATCTGAAGTGTTTAGAGTAAGTGCACTTTCGATAGGTGGTAATTTCTTTCTCTTGACAGTGCAAGACTTATTACGATTATTTGGAACAATAGTCTAGACAAGGTTTCTTTTTTCTTTGAAAATGTTAACAGTGGAAATCTCGTCCTTTCGATCAAGAGTATGAACTGAGCTGACAGCACTAGCTATTACACTCGTAATATCCTCATGTAATGTCAGAATCACTGACTGAGTATCGTCACTTGGCAACTTGTTCATCAGAGTGAGCCAGTCAGTCAGCTACAACGTAGGACCAGGCACATTTATGCATCGGTCCAAGTTGCCATACCTCGTTAGCACAACAAGATGAACACCGAATTCATAGAAGTAGTTAATTTAGTGGTGGTAATATATAAAAGATAGGTTGTATATAAGGAAAGAAAGATATGAAGCAATTTTAATCTCGAGGTTTAAGGGAAGATAAAGAGTGTATACACCTGCTCCATTGTGATCGATTCTAAGCCGTATCACCTAGAGTCTCCATCAGAGTGAGAGGTTACATGACTTTATCTAGGAGAATCGATTCAGTCGTACAGCATTCTTTACACAACCAGAGTGAAGCCAGTTCGGTGCTATGTTTATGCGCGGCCGGTGATAGATTGATGCACATTTTTTATGGAACTATATCATACAGCTGTCACACTGCATGTCATCGACAGGAAAGAAACCATGACTGACCATTTTAACCAATATGGTGTGCATAAAACAAGGGGATGTTTTAAAAATAGCTATTCACAATAAGTAAAGAAATGATAACGTTACTAGGGTAACTACAAAAATATATCAAGACGGTATCTAACTAGTGATAGTTAAAGCAACGTACATACCCTATGCCAAATCGGTCAACAGGCCTCCTTAGCTAAAACCCTAGAATCTCGTACCATTGATGTATGCTGTGTCCCCGAAACACGCATACAGGATCCCAGTGTGGTCATTCACTTGACCTCACCTCGCCAAAATGGACAGCCAACGAAATACACCCTCCGTGTATCTGGCGACCCGTTGGCTAGTTCTCATGGACTTGCAAGTGTAGGCATAGCACTAAGTACAAGGGCAGAACAGTCACTACTAGAATAGATCCACGTTAACAGTCGCCTGTGTGTTGTCCGGCTAAATGGCTCCGTAAGAACTCGGAAAGATAGGGAAACACGTCGTTTCTGCTTACGCTCCCACTGACTGCAGCCATGATGAAGTGAAAGATGACTTTTACAGAAAGCTCTCTGAGCTTCTTCAGAAAGCTAAGCGCTCAGACATAGTAGTCGTAGCGGGTGACTTTAATGCTCAGGTAGGCAGCTTAAATCAAACAGAAAGACATTTAGGTGGATGTTCTAGTATTCCGGCTCAACGAACCGATAATGGTGATCGTCTGTTGCAACTATGCTCAGACAATCGTTTATTTTTAGCAAGCACTAATTTTAAGCATAAAGAGAGACTGTGTAATAATGCCAGGATGTTCGGGATGCGTTTCTCCCCATCCAAATGTAAATTGTTACTCCAGGACTGGCCTGCGTCAACACCTGAACTAAGGATAGGGAGTGAAGTAGTCGAACGCGTCGACAACTTCACTTATCTTGGAAGTCTGATCAGCCCTAATGGGTTGGTGTCTGACGAAATCTCAGCACGGATTCAAAAAAGCTCGTTTGGCTTTTGCCAACTTACGTAACCTATGGCGAAGACGAGATACCCGTCTATCAATTAAGGGACGAGTATACTGCGCAGCAGTTCGCTCTGTTCTACTTTACTTCTGTGTAACATGGCCATTAAGAGTAGAAGATACTCGTAGGTTACTAGTATTTGAACACAGATGCCTTAGAAATATTTCTCGCATCTACTAGGATAACCGGGTAAGTAATAGTGAGGTTAGACGCAGGGTATTAGGGAATGATGGTAAATCAGTTGATGAGGTGATGAATCTTCATCAACTGAGATGGTTGGGCCACGTGTTACGTATGCCTGAACATCGATTACCACGACGCGCAATGTTGACTAGTGTAGGGGATGGTTGGAAGAGAGTTGGGGACGGCCAAACCAAAACGTGGCACTAGTCTTTAAAGTCACTAACTTCTAATGTGAGCCATGTTGGTAGATGCAGACTAGTTGATTGGGGTCCGTGTGACTATCGTAACCAATGATTGGAGACTCTGTGTGACATGGCTCAGAATTGATCACAATGGCGTAGGTGTATACACTCTTTATCTTCCCTTAAACCTTGAGATTAAAATTGCTTCATATCTGTCTTCCTTCCTGTACTATATCCTTATATACAACCTATCTTTTATATATTACCACCACTAAATTAACTACTTCTATGAATCCGGTGTTGATCTTGTTGTGCTAACGAGGTATGTCAACTTGGACCGATGCATAAATGTGCCTGGTCCTACGTTGTAGCTGACTGACTGAGTTAAAGCAACAAAAAGTCTAAATAATTAGCAAACCTAACTCTAGGGTGAAAACGGGGAAGCAGTAAACATCAATAAAAAACGTTAACTAATGTAAATTAAAGTAGAAAGCATGTGAAAAAGGTATTTCATAAGAATTAAATATGAGTTTAAATCTAGGTTCTCATACAATAAATTCAACAGGAATCTAGTATTTCAAAAAAAGAAGTTGGAAAATTCACTTCTTTTTCCTCTCAAATCGCTCACATTCACCTAGGTTCTTAGTAAATGTCGTGTTTTTTCCCTCTGGTAGTTCTATGAACCTTTGTAAAACTTCTTTTAAATACTTCCAAAAAATTTGTTTTATGCTTCTAAAGCGGTATTCATGAAACAGCCTTGATTAATTTGTAGTTCTACAAATTTCTCCTTATCGTACTTATTATTTATTTGTTCAAGCACATAAATATTGGTACAAGGAAGCACCAGATACATATGCGCCGCACAAATCTCATATGATTTGTTTCAGGGCTGTGATATTGCCCGGGTGCCCAGACCGAAGCAGGTGGTTTTCTTAGTGGGCCACCACGAGCCTTTGACCTAAAGGTCTAATCCACAAGGCAGTGGAGCATCGTAAGGAGATGCAGTCCTATGGTATTCGGTGACTAACAATAGGTTTATACGTCATTTGTTCCCTCAGGATACTGGAGTTCATGTGCACCATTGGTTTGGAATGAGGGTTTTCCAACTCCCTTAGGTGGACCCTCCGTATCCACCAACCCGGTTAAAGCGCCGGCCATTCGCTTTTCGTCCTATCACTTTCATAAGCAACACCCCCGACACGAGAAGGCAGTGAGTAGGACTTCTTTGACAGAGGCTATGTACGCGTGTCCATGTGAGAGCATTTCGAGAGAGAGCGGACTCTCCCCACTCTCGGCCGTACTTACTCGGTGTACTTACTATGGATGATTTTCCTTTATCAACTTAGTTTCAAAGAGAAATGTCAAAGTATGTTTGATGTAAATTCTTTACCTTTTTTTTCTTATTTTTTTAGCAAAAAGTCAATGACTCCTCTCCATGTTCACAAAATCCGAGTCAATCATCAACTGAATCGCATCATTTTACTGTTAAAGATGCTCCTCCTGTAGTCAACCAAGAAAATTGTAATATGAAAATCCATAAAAATAATGTTGATAATTTTGCATTTGATGAATATGAAGAAGAAATGAAGAATAATTTTGATGCATTACATCCATATAAATATTCAATTAATGATAAACATTCTGTAAAATATTGTGATAAATTAGTTGAAGAGGATGAAGACTTAGAAGATGATGTTAAACCTTGGTTCCGTCCTGCTTCTCGTGATGTATCTAATAAAAATCCATCCAATAGTTCAAAGAATATGAAAGTTAGTCGAACAGATAAACCTGTAAGTATTCTTGTTTGGAATAAATACTATCAAAAAACTAATCTCCTTTCCTTAATGTTACATTTATTTGTTGCTGTGTATTGTTTTAATGTTGATTCATTTATATCATAAACTTTATACGGTAATCCCTTTTGTGATCTGGTGCGTGACGAAACCTCAGCACGGATACTGAACGCTCGTCTAGCATTCGCTAACTTGCGTCATTTATGGTGTAGGCGAGATATCCGTCTAGCAACCAAAGGACGGGTTTACTGTGCAGCAGTTCGTTCCGTCCTACTTTATGGCAGTGAAACATGACCGGTAAGAGTACAGGATATTCGTAGGCTACTAGTATTCGATCATAGGTGTCTTCGAAGCATTGCTCGTATATGATGGGACCACCGGGTAAGTAATGCAGTTGTTAGGAAACGGGTACTAGGTAAAGATGGCAAATCGATTGATGAAGTAGTGAAACTTTATCAGTTGAGGTGACTGGGACACGTGTTACGTATGCCCAACCACTGACTGCCTCGACATGCAATGTCTGATGACGTAAGAGAAGGTTGAAAGAAAGCTAGTGGCGGCCAAACCAAAACGTGGCACAAATCCATGAAGTCACTGACAAGTGGACTGAGCCATGTTGGTAGGTGTAGACTACCTGGTTGGGATTCGCGAGATGATAGCAATAGATGGTTAGAGACCTTGAGTGACATGGCTCAAAATCGTTTGCAATGGCGAAGGTGCATCCACTCTTTGTGTTCTGCCGAATTCTAATCTTTTAAATTCTTCATGTCCCTATCTTTTTCTCTTTCCAAATTTATTTCACTGGATTATACTCCTTCAATAACTTATTCAAACTCTAATCTTTCCGGTTACTGCTTAAACTCTTCTTACTTCTACCACTATGGGATTTGAATCGACAACTGCATCTCTGTGTTAATGTGGTATGCCAACTCGAACTGATGTACGACGTATGAAGTTCTACGTTGTGACTGACTGAATCCCTTTTGTTGTATTTGAGTACTTGTATGTACTTCGACCACTGGTAATCTGTACTAATTGAGAAGATCAACTGACGGACGCCCCACCCAGAATTGTCAAAATGTCTGGGATACAGTGGTTCATAAAATGACGCTATAAATAATTACCTGATGTGGTTACCTCATATCATTTATTATTGTCCAAAACCAGTTTTCTAATTTATTCATTCAGTATACATAAAACCATGTCGTTCTATGAATAGTTGCGGCTAGTTAGTAGAATTCCACATCATTTTCTATCCTTACTCACACATAGAAATGGTTGCTCAATAGTTTTCAACTTTTAACCAATTAGTCACACATTTGGATCTGACCCTACCTGCTTCGGTTTGGCCAGTCAAAAGTTATTAGCTAGCCCTCACATTTACAGTGATCAAAGCCAGGTAAACGAATTGCTACCTAGTTGGTGAGTTTATAATATTAATAATAATAACTTTACATTCTATTCACTTGATGATTCGTGAACTATGTAGACTATTCAGTGATGCATAACCATGATGTTACAAAACACGAAATTTGTTCTGGTCCAGGGTAAAACCTTGTTCATTCGTCAAAGGTTAGAATAAACTTGTAATTCGTTTTCTTTTGAATATTGATTAAAATTGTGATAATGTGGTATGGCAACTAGAACTGATGTACGTACGTACGTACGAAGTTCTACGTTGTGACTGACTGACTGATTGACTGATTAAAATACTTCTGTTTTTGTATGTTTATTTTATAGTTGTATACTGTACTACACAAGGTGAAAGAAGCACATGTTTGTCAAGAACAAGGTGAAACTCAGCATTTGTTAGATGATGTAGAATATTTAGTAGATGGGTTAACAGATCGTAATCAAGTTAATACTCGTGCACTTAGGTTAGTTATGATCATTTATAGTGTTTGCAATGTTTTAATGTCACAGTTTATGAGATGAGTTCGACTGTTTTATACATTTTCATCGATATTGATATTCATATACTGGACAATGGTTGAGATTTATTCTTCTGAATTTTGTTGTTGTTGCTTGAAATTATTCATCCAACTAATTTCGTTTTCTACATGAACCAGTTTTACTACAGACTCTGATAATATATTGAATGTTTATTTCGTATTGCGCGATTTCTTTTGTTATGTTATATACGCCCCCAAATGCCCTGGTACGGTCGAGAGTGGGGAGAGTCCGCTCTGCTTCTCGAAATGCTCTCATATGACCACGCGTATACAGCCACTACCAGGGAAGTCTTACTCACTGCCTTCTCGTGGCATTACTGTTGTTTACGAAATCGAGAGGACGAAAAGCGAGTATTTGGCGTTTTAACCGCGTCGGTAGACACTGAGATTCCACCTGGGAGAGTTGGAAATCCCTGATTCCAAACCAATGGTGCACATTGGCTTCAGTATCCTGAAGGAACAAATGGCGTATGAACTAATCGTTGATCACCGGTTACCATGGGACTGCATCTCCTCACGATGCTCCGCTGGCTTGTGGATCAGACCTTTACGTCAAAGGCTCAGAGTGTGGCCCACTAAGAAAACCACCTGCTTCGGTCTGGGCACCCGGGCCGTATCATAGCCCTCACACAATTAAATGAAATAATAACTTTTTGTGTGGCACATATAAATCTGGTACCCGCTTGTACCAATATTTATGTGTTCAAATAAATAAATCGATAAATAAATAATCATTTAGACATTTATCTATCTGACATTGCGCCTATTAGTTTCACATCATTTGTTGCGTTAAATACCGTTATTTAAAGTGACCTTTGTTATAATATGTCCATATGGATAAAAATTCATTGTTATATATATATATATATATATATATATATATATATATATATATACTGGAAAGGAAGTAATCGAGACTACTTGAGTGTTACGATCACAGTTAATGCTGTGTGGTTTTTTGTGGGGACAGCTCTCGGTGAACTCAAAGAACCTCTAAGAAGCTCTGAAAGAGCCTAAGGCATCCAATCATCGTTAGAAAAAACATCCCAAGATCTCGACATGTAACTCCCGATTAGACAAATGCTAAAAACCACTCCATGCGGATTGGATGATTGTAATGGCGATTTCGTTTTTGCTAAAAACTATAAATTTGGGGGCAAATGCCCTGGTACGGCCGAGAGTGGGGAGAGTCTACTCTCCCTCTCGAAATGCTCTCACATGGCCACGCGAATATATAGCCTCTGCCAGGGAAGTCCTACTCACTGCCTTCTCGTGGCGGGGGTGTTGTTCACGAAAGTGAGAGGACGAAAAGCGAATGGCCGGCGCTTTAACCGGGTTGGTGGACACGGAGGGTCCACCTAGGGTAGTTGGAAAACCCTGATTCCAAACCAATGGTGCACATGGGCTCCAGTATCCTGATGGAACGAATGGCGTAAGAACCTGTCATTGGTCAACGGCAATGGGTTTCTTCTGGCTCCTTACAACTGATGGAAGCCCGTCTGTCTACTTCGGGTGACCGTGAGTTTTACCACAAACGAAGGCTGTTACGTAATGAAATCGGGCAAAGCTTGCGTAAGGACCGGGAAGCCTGGTGGTCGGAGCGTGCTAATGAGATAGAAGCAGCAGCTGCATCTGGTAACTGCCGGAAGCTCTTCCAACTCATCCGAGCCACTGGTAGCAAGAAGTCTGGTGTGAGTGAAACAATCTACGAGGATGACGGGATGCCAATCACTAACATCTGTCGACGTCTTGGACGATGGGCGGAATTTTTCGAAGTGCAGTTCAACTGGCCTGCTGCTCCGGCAACATCAACCAGCTTGTCCTGCCCCCCATGGCCGGTGACGACTGATCCACCTAACGAGGCGGAAGTCCGCAAGGAACTCCAACTCAGCCCAGATGACTTACCTCCGGCTCTTTTTAAAGATGGTGGTGACTTTATGACTAAGGAATTGACTATGTTGTTTACAAAGGTTTGGGAGCAAGAAAGTGTTCCAACGTCATGGGATGATTTGATAGTCGTCCCTATCTTTAAAAAGGGTTCACGTTCATGTAACAACTATCGGGGATAAGTCTTCTTCCGATTGCGTCCAAACTATTGGCTTCTATCATTCTTCGTAGGTTGTTTAAAACCCGAGAACGATTGACTGGCGAGGAGCAGGCTGATTTTCGTTCTGGTCGAGGATGCATTGATCACATCTTCACCCTCCGCCAAATGTTAGAACACCGTCATACTTATCGCAGGCCAACAATCGTAGTGTTTCTTGATATCAGGGCGGCCTTCGATTCGTTGGACAGGACTGTTCTCTGGGATTGTCTATTGAAGAAGGGTGTGCCTGAGAAGTTCATTAACATCTTAAAGGCCCTGTATACGAACACCTCAGGTAGAGTGAGGGCATACAACCACCTTTCTCCCTTGTTCTATTCGAGCAGTGGGGTTAGGCAGGGTTGCCCGATCTCACCATTCCTCTTCAACTTTGCCATCGACGACATCCTGGAAACAGCTCTGGTGGATGTAAGTAATGGCGGTGTGGATATGTTGCCTGGAGAAGGACTTCTCGACCTTGAGTATGCGGATGATATTGTCTTACTGTGCGATAATGCCCAAGGCATGCAATCAGCACTTAATCAGTTGGCAATCAGTGTCCGCAGGTACAGCATGTGTTTTGCACCCTCCAAGTGCAAAGTACTCCTACAAGACTGGCAGGATTCTAATCCTGTACTCACCCTGGATGGTGAGGAGATCGAAGTAGTTGAGAAGTTCGTGTATCTAGGTAGCTATATAAGTGCTGGTGGTGGCGTGAGTGATGAGATTGATGCACGTATAAGGAAAGCCAGAGCGGCTTATGCCAATCTGGGCCATCTTTGGCGCCTTCGTGATGTTAGTCTAGCTGAAAAAGGTCGGATCTAAAACGCGTCGGTGAGAGCAGTTTTTCTCTATGCTTCTGAAACCTGGCCTCTCCGAGTTGAGGTTGTTAGACGTCTCTCTGTGTTCGATCATCGTTGTCTCTGAAGGATTGCTGACATCCAGTGGAAAAACCATGTTAGTAATGCAGAGGTTCGGCATCGTATGTTCGGGCGCAGAGACAATAATTCAATTGGTGTCACCATCTTGAAACACCGACTTCGGTGGCTTGGACATGTTTTACGAATGTCGTCCCAGAGACTTCCACGTCGTGCATTATTTGCCGACCCTGGGACTGGTTGGAAAAAGCGGAGAGGAGGTCAGTGTATGACATGGTGTCGTGGCATGAAAGAGAGCTGCAAAGGGCTAGCTTCTGTTGGTCCTTCACGACTCCCTGGTTGGGGTCCGAGAGATGGTGCAACACAGTGGCTAGAGACGTTATCAGATATGGTTCAGAATAGAAGCCAGTGGCGATCCTGCTGCAACCTTCTTTTACTTTCTACATAAAGAATGGTTCTAACTTTCCTAACTGAAAGAGTCTTCTGGTTGTACATTTCAGTCCGCCTTATCTTTTCATCCCTTCTCTTCCTACTTTTATTATTTTGTGTGGCGCATATGTACCTGGTGCCCTTTTGTACCAATATATATGTGTTTAAATAAATAAATAAATAATAAAAACTATAAATACTCAAGTGCTTTGTACCGTATTGCATCGGTTGAAATAAGATTTCTTTCCACTTGTCTTCCGTCTTCTAACTTGCGACTTGAAGGATTCAAGCATCCGAATGATCAAGTTGTACACGGTATATCAAAATAATTCAAGTTCTCGATATAACAACATTATCTTCTATTTGTCCGTGGGTTCAAGTGGTTGTATTTGATCATATGCTAAATGATGTCCACTTAAATGTTCACATACCCTTAACGACTGTTCATGGTTTCTTGTGATTTATCGATCAAAATTAATCATGATCGTTTCCCTTCATATGTTGTTGTATTTGTTTCTTTTTTTCTTTCACAATATAAGCGTTCTGACCCTAGCTAACAAATGTTTAACTGCATCCTTCCGTTATACTCTCAATGCTCATGGTTTATTGAAGCGAATTTGTGCAAAACTCCATGATGCTTACACAGATTATGTAAGTATAGTTTTATGTTTAAAAGTTCTATCTTGATGGTATATTTGTTTTGAAATACTAGTGTTTACCCAATGTTACTTACAATCAATAAACTAAGCACAGTTAAACTAGAGTGAATAGATTGTAAGCTTTTTAGTTTAAATATTTACACGACTCATTTTCGTCCCTCCAAGTTCAGCCATGTCTACATACTGGCATTTCGTTTTATACGCCTTTAGGGAATAGATTGTAAACATAGGCTTTACCGATCATTTATTTTATCTACCGTTATCATAGAGTTCATTCCTTCCAACTGTTAGTCGTGCTGCATAACCTAAACTACAAAGAGCTAAGTTCCCGAATACAGATGTGGTAATTGGTAAGCAAAGATGGATAGTGGCCAGCAGTGGAATCCAGTTCGACGCGCGTTTCGTCCTATTTGGGGCTCGCCAGTTAGATGTAACTGCATCTCAGAGTTGATGTTCATTCTGGGACTCGAAGCCAGTACCATTCTCTTCAAACGTCAGCGCGTTATCTACTCGGCCACTGAGTCCTGATAGCCACTTGCTTGTGCAATTGGGTGAAGCTTAAATTCAGTTGTTACTGTTTGTTTGAATCTTTTCATTGATGTTTTAAGACTGCAACTGATCAGTCTCCATTGCACAAGCAAGTGGCTATCAGGACTCAGTAGCTAAGTGGATAACACGATGGCGTTTGAAGCGAACGGTACTGGGTTCGAGTCCCAGAGTGAACATCAACTGTGAGATGCAGGTACATCCATCTGACGAGTCCTAAATAGGACGAAGTGGCGCGCGTCCTGGATTCCACTGCTAGCCACTATCCATCTTTGCTTATAAGGCTTGTAAATTTAGGCTATATCGAGGCAATACGCACAGTATACACATATGCCAATTAGAGACTGACCAGTTGCAGTCCTAAAACATCAATGGGAATATTCAAACAAACAATACTAAAATGTGGCAATTGTTTATTGTCCGCTTTGTGTTAATGATTTTACTGTAACCATTTGTCAATCTAAAATGAAATGAACATCTAATTAAATGAAATTTATGAAACTACTAAAACAGATTATTGATATTTCAGTTGATTTAATGTAAGAAAGACATAATCCATTGAAATTCGATAATAGGCATTATGTGAAATGGTTTAGCATTTCTTGAAAACTTGTAGGATGAACCTAAAAAAGAAACAGTTATTTTCGTTTCAGATCTAGTACATACTATTGTTTACAGCTTTTAATTGTTACATAGTAGACCTGTCTACTTTACTTACTCCTGTTACGCCTCGTGTAGGAGCATAGGCTGCACACCACTTTTCACCATTATGATGAAAATAGACACGTCTATTCATATCATTTACCCTATGTATCTAACTAGTTATCGATTGTAAAAATACCTTGCTTAACATTTCATTAGTCAATTAATGTAAATTTTTTGCTGTTATTTATCTAAAGTAAAATTTCTCAAGAGTTAAGATACTATATTAATCTAGAAGAATAAACTAACTCATAATAATGTCTTCAAAGGATTACTGACCTCCAGTGGTAACACCAAGTTAGTAATGTAGAGGTTCGTCATCGTGTGTTCAGGCACAGCGACGACATATCAATTGGTGTCATCATCTTGAAACATCGAATTCCGTGGCTTGGACATGTTCCACGTATGTCATCCCAGAGAATTCCACGTCTAGCCTTATTTGCTTACACAAGGACTGGTTGGAAAAAGCGGAGAGGTGTACTGCGTATGACGTGCTGTCGTGATATGAAGAAAAGCTGTACAGCAGTGGATTCTGTTGTTCTTTCACAACTCCCTTGTTGAAGTCCTATAGATGTTGCAACACAGTGGCTTAAGACGTTATCAGGTATGGTTCAGAATCGAAGCCAGTGGCGATCCTGCTGCAACTTTATTTTGCTTTCTTCATAAAAAAAGGACGTAACTTCGTTAACTGGAAGAATTCTTTCTGGTTGTACCTTTGCTAACTGAACTGCCCTTCCCATTATTATCATTTCACGATCGTACACTAATTTCTGTTCTCTATTGTTCCCCTTTTTCTTATACGTACCTTACATTTTTTATCTCTTCACATTCTCATTGTTATTGCCTGGCGTATGTGTATCTGATGCCTCTTTGAACTAATATTTATGTGTTCAAATAAATAAATAAATAAACTAGAGTGCAGATATATACTTTCAGGAACTCATAATCATCACTAACTATTCGCCAGCTCCTCTCCATACCCTGCCTTGAGTCCAGAAGTAGCAACTAGCCTCTATTGTATTTATACTGCGAACAGGTGTGGTTTATGTACAGATATAACAGACAGCACTACAACATACATGAACAAGCCAAAAGTGACTGTGAATAGTTGCTCAATGATTATGCAACACAATTACAATTATCAGAAGGGGTTTTGTGGAGATTTAGTATTTATCATAGTTGAAAGCGTGAGTCAATTGAAGCTAGACCACCATGGAAAACCTGGATCAGTTGAAGTTAGACATTAACACTGTTGGATGCCAGCTCAGTGGTTTATCGGTTAAGGGCTTCGGCTCGAGACTGGTAGGTCCTGGATTCGAATCTCGCTCGTGCGGCAGGATCGTGGATGCGCACTGCTGAGGAGTCCCACAATTACAATTAATAGTAATTCAATAAACCCCTATCATTGTTTGCAATATACGTTTCATCATAACACATACTCCTCTTAACATTACTGTATATCCTATTCCAAGTAAATAGTACTTGTTTCAAGATTTCTTTATGCCTTCTGTTATAACTTAATTATATATTCATTTACACCAGGACGATACACACAATACACAATATAGAATTCAATGATTCTTTTTTTATAAAAATGCAATCATAATCTACTGACAATTTATTTGACTTTCAATGAAACCTCTTGTCATTTCAGGCACTGGCACTTACCTCTGCTGGATTGTTGTTTGTTTTATCACGAGATCGTGACCCGAATATATTAGATGTTGACTCCCTGGCTATTATATTGAAATTATTCTCTGCACCTGATAGTAAGTTGTTGCGCATAGTAGTAAAGATTTTAAACTTATTATAACTGATGTTATTGCATAAAGTTTAAAGCTAATTTGTATTTTCAGTTCATAAACTACAAAGTGTTTGTCTACATACTCAGATGATTATCCAATGTATGGATTAGCCCTCAAATGCCCTGGTGCCGTCGAGAATGGGGAGAGTTAGCTCTCCCTCTCGAAATACTCTCACATGCCCACGCGTACACAGCCACTACCAGGGAAGTCCTTCTTACGACGTTACTGTTGTTTACGAAATTTAGAGGACAAAAAGTGAATGTCCGGCGCCTTAACCGGGCCGGGGGATGTGGAGGATCCATCTAGAGGAGTTGGAAAACCCTCATTCCAAATTAATGGTTCACATGGGTTCCATGATCCTAAGGGGACAAATGGTGTATGAACCTATTGTTGGTGAAGGGCTCGGCGAGTGGCCTCCTAAGATGACCACCTGCTTCGATTTGAGCACCCAGGTAATATTCCAGCCCTCACTAAATTCGAATGATAAAGTGTAGCACACATATATTTGATGCCTTCTTGTACCAATGTTTGTGTGTTTAGATAATAACTAGTGATACTACCCGTTTACTTAATTCACCAGGAGTTTTATTGGGTTTTAAACACTTAACCTAATACTAATGATAGCCAATTGCCTTAGTCATTAAACTATCATTCCACTATGAATAAAAGTCCACACTCATCATGACTTGTAGTTGCATAATTAGGGTTTATGGACTAGGCTTCTAGTCTCATTGAATGATTTCATATTGTTTAATTTGATTTCGTAACTGATCAACAAGTGTTTAAGTATTATAGTATTTTCCTTGTCTTCTTAGTTCTTAGTATAACTTGGAGTTGATTCACGATACCTTTTTTGGTATGTAAACTAGGAATGAACTGTAGAATCTTACTAATAAACCGAACTAGAATCTCAATCATTTCTATTCGTTTTGACTTCACGTTTTTAAAAGTGTTCACCAGTTGAAGGCTTTAAAGTAATCTGATGTTTGATGTGCTTTTTTCCAGCCAATGCAAATGGCAGTACCGGTGGTGGTCATTGTGAAATCAGTAAAAATAAAGAAGCTGAACGTGTACGTATGCGTGTTCGTCAACTACTCGATGGTTTACATCAAAATAATTCCAAGAGTTTAACACCAGCTGGCCCAGATGTTGTTGTGGGCAACAATCCAAACACGATAATTTCATCCAATCAATCATTATTCTCTAGTGGAAAGCGTTCAATTCTTCCACCTGGATCTAAAACACCTACAAATTCAAGTTTAAACACTCGACATTTACAGATCACCCGTCAGTTGACAGTAAGTATTTAATAAATTTGTTTCTCCTTTGACACATGTACAGTTAAGAAACTGTTAAAATTGGCTTCTTGCTAGTTTAATGATTTATCGTCTGGTAGAGGTAATAGGTCTAACGAATGGTGTTTAATTACATACATTAGAAGCTCCACATAGTTGAATGCTTCGTTTAAGCGTAATGGTTACATGATTCTTTATGTGTATGAAGTTATAATCAAGTTAGGTAACCAACTACTCAGTTACATGTACAATTAAATCATATGAAATGAAAAATCGAAGCACTAGTCATTAATTTATCTTGTCGATTATGAATACAGTGGTGTGCTGTTAAAGGTATGAGGGCAGTTATCACTTCCCGGTTGCCCACACCGTGGAACGGTTCTTCTGGAGGTACCTGAAAAGGAAATCGGGTTAGAAGTGGTCTTAATGACCTGAGAGCGTGACCGCAGTGCCCAAGGGACAACTGCTTGAGGTCGGTCACACATGACCGTTTTGTGGGTAGTTTTTATGTTAGCTCCGTACTTGTTGGGACCTTACCGTCGGAGATGGATATCCGTGGGATAAGGCTATGTGTGCATTTTTAGAGTCGACATTTTCTAACTCCACCCCTCCTTATTGGAAGACAGCATCACTGTTATGCTGGTTGTCTAAAGGAAACACCTTACTGTTGTCACACCTCTGTACAGTCAGTAGTACGACTTCGCCTTCGAACCTTGGGTTTGCTGCTTTTAGTCTTACCGCTCTTCAACCGACTTGTCTGGCATGGTAGTACCTTGAGGAACGATTGTTCCAGCCAATATAGCTCGATTGGTTCATCACGGTAGGCAAGCCTTACCACCACGTCAAGGTAGCAGCAACGGTCGGGAGTCATTAATTTATGGCTAACTTCAGTTTCATTTATTACATGGTCACCATCGCTTTAATGAATTAACTTGCGAAAAACAAGTCATTTTCATACTTTAAGACTTTACCGTTCAAAGAGTAATTTTTAAAATATCAGTATCAGTTACAATTTTTACGATCTCATCCGTACTATCTACATGTTTGTTACAATAAAATTTTCAGACCTCAGATTTGGTTATTGAATCTATTTTAAACTTTGGCACTCGAAAAGCAGGAGATTGGTTCAAAGTAGAACTTCGTAATGGTGGTGGATTAGATAGAGTTGCTGATGCAGCTTCAGATGCTGTTGATTATCTGGCAGATTTAGATCCAAATAATACATCTCGTAAACCAACAACTGTTTGGCGTTCTAGGACTAACTTAACAGGAATTGATAATTTTGCTTTGGATAGACTTAAACGAGTTTGCCATTATACTCGATTGTTGGAAAATGTAAGTTTTTATCTATTTGATTTTGTGTATATATGTGAGAATTGTGAACATGTTTTGTGTATTACAAAACTTAGTGATTTGACATAAAGTTGTGTCTCAATAGTTTAACAACTAAATCTCCAATCAGTTAATCTCTACATTGTATTCAATTACAGGTTCGTCTGTTTGAGCTACCATGTACTATTCTTGAGACCGCTCACATTAAATGTGTTTCGGTGCTTGGTCGGCGAACCTGGATAATTGTGTTGCACTGTAGTCGAATTTCTGTAATGTATCCGATTCGGGATAAAAACGTTTTTGCAATGGAATACAAATAACCTCATATGAAAGCTTTTATCTCTATAAGACGAGTTAGCGAATCCTGACAAACTGAGTCGGTTGGAACATGTATTACATATGTCCAACCCACTGCCTACCTCGATGAGTGATGTTGTTTGGTGTAGGAGTAGGTTGTAAGAAAGTTAGATCCTGCCAAACTAAGACATAGCATCAGTTCAGTGGGAAATACATTTCCACACCTGTATATTGAGTTCTTAGATGCGACATGGATGATTCTATCTCCGATTTACAAAAAGAAACAACGTTTGTTAATACTTACCTCGGTGAAATCATCATCACGTGTCTGATATGATAGATTGTTAGTCAAATATTTGTACAAACTATTCACATCATTTTATGTGTATCCAATGTAACTTGAATGTATATTGAATTCATCTGATGATCATCTTTTCTTTTTCTCTCTCCAATTTCTTTCTTTTATTGTATTCAAGATGACTTATATGAATTCAGATAATCAAACTTATTTGGTCCACTATCGTGATGGAATTCTTGTTAAACGCTTATTAACTTGTTTACGAGTTTGTGTATCCCATTTACCCAAATCATCAAATCAACAATCAAACTCTACTACTACTACTAATAATAATGTTACTATGGAAAAACCTACTGTAAATAGTGTCAATGTTTTATCAAATTCAAATAATTCTGCATATGATAGTCAAACTATTTTAACCGATTGCATTTTAGGTATATTTCGATTTTTAGTTAATGTTTCACATAATGGTAAGTTTGAATTTTTCTATATTGTCAGTTCAAATTGTTTGTTATACTTTTTAGATCAGAAGGGGTTTTGTGGAGAATTTAGTATTTTCATAGTTGAAATCATGAGTCAATTGAAGCTAGACCATCATGAAAAACCTGGAAGCACTGGACAGTCGTTTCATACTATTATGGGACTCCTCAGCACTGCGCATCCACGATCCCGCATTCATGAGACTGATAGGTCCTGGGTTCGAATCTCGTGAGGTGGGTGGATGAGCACTGCTGAGGAGTTCCATAATAGGACGAAACGGCCATCCAGTGCTTCCAGGTTTTCCATGGTGGTCTAGCTTCAATTGACTCATAATTTCAACTATGTTATACTTTTGTCTCATTAATATTGGATGCGAGCATATATTACAGATAGAGTAGAATAGTGTACATTGAATTTTGTATAGTCATCAGTCTTGTCCAATACCATACTGATCAGTAAATATATATATGAAGTTCCATTTATATATCAGATCTATGTTGATAGATGTAGACCTACCTACTTGGTTGTAGTTCGTCGGACTAGTGATTGGAAATGTTTAATGATATAACTCAGAGGCCGTCTTCAGAGAGCAGATGCATTCAATTCTTACCTTTCTCTCAATCTTGAGTACCAGTTTTCTTCCATATATGTCAGTCAGTCAGTCACAACGTAGAACTTCATACGTCGTACATCAGTTCGAGTTGGCATACCACATTAACACAGAGATGCAGTTGTCGATTCAAATCCCATAGTGGTAGAAGTAAGAAGAGTTATTGAAGGAGTATAATCCAGTGAAATAAATTTGGAAAGAGAAAAAGATAGGGACATGAAGAATTTAAAAGATTAGAATTCGGCAGAACACAAAGAGTGGATGCACCTTCGCCATTGCAAACGATTTTGAGCCATGTCACTCAAGGTCTCTAACCATCTATTGCTATCATCTCGCGAATCCCAACCAGGTAGTCTACACCTACCAACATGGCTCAGTCCACTTGTCAGTGTAGAAAGCAATTTTCTACAGGGGTAACTTTAAGCTATTCTCTAAACTGTCGAATACAGAGTCTTGGTTTCGCCAAAGTCAAAACAAGTAAGCTATTTGGCTTAATAAACTTTATCTGTTTCTAAAACGTAAATTAACAACATTAGTATACAAATAAACAGTAGTCTATTACATAGGGAAAAGGTGAAATATAAATGACATACCGAACAGTAAGTGGAGAATAGGAAAAATGAGTCAAAGGGGAGAATATTGTTCCAGAATGAACATAAAATTGTGATTGGTGGATAAAACAAAGATATTCATACAAGGTCAAAGAATTTAGTGAGGTGGTGAGCGTTTCACCTATCATTGGTGTGTTCACTTATCGATCACACTTTACAGTCAGTGACTTCATGGATTTGTGCCACGTTTTGGTTTGGCCGCCCCTAGCTTTCTTTCAACCTTCTCTTACGTCATCAGACATTGCACGTCGGTGCAGTCAGTGGTTGGGCATACGTAACACGTGTCCCAGTCACCTCAACTGATAAAGTTTCACTACTTCATCAATTGATTTGCCATCTTTACCTAGTACCCGTTTCCTAACAATTGCATTACTTACCCGGTGGTCCCATCATATACGAGCAATGCTTCGAAGACACCTATGATCGAATATTAGTAGCCTACGACTATCTTTTACTCTTCCATATATGTCTTTGCATTCGAAATTCTCATTGCTTGGTCTATCTCATTATAATTCCTGCTACATTTCAACTCCTTCACCATTCATCTTGTCAATTTCATCTTGATCCAATGCACATTTGTGCCAAACCCTGTGTTGATAATGACTGTCTAGATTGTATATCAGACTTATATTGGAAAATTTCACGGAGATATATATTTTAAAATAAGTGTTCTACATTTCCTTCTAATATATATTCTCTTTGAATAGACTTATCATTATTTATCACCATATTAAGCATTTTCGGGCTTTTGTTAATTATGATGTACAGTTGAGGGTATATCTTTTGTTAACGGGAAATAAACCGGATTCAGGCACGTCATGTGTATGATCGTGACCGTGCACGCTGATTGGCTAATTCTAAACCAATCAGCTCTGGCAAATTACTGGAGAAACATTTAGAAGCTTCTTATGCATATACCATAAATATATGAACGTGTTTCTAACGACTGATTGCTGTTCACCTACCATTGTTATTTTGAATACAATTTCGTTCCTGTTCAACGTGTTCTAAATTTTGGGGGTCTTATCGAGTGTCATTTGTATAAGAATACTAAGCAATAGGAGTAGTTGGGTCGTTTATTAGCAAAAAACAATTATAACCTTCATAATCTTCTGTTCAGTACCGGTAACTTGTTGTTGTTTAAACAGATTTTCTCTTGTCATAATAAGATCTAGTATTGTTCAAAATACTGTCTCCAAAAGCTGAATTACTCATTAAAAATTAAGATATTAATTTACTAGTTGGATTCATAAGTAAATTGCAGCTAGATCACCATGGATAACCTAGAAGCACTGGGCGGCCGTTTCATCATAGTATGGAACTCCTCAGCAGTGCACATCCACGATCCGGCCCCGCGAGACTCGAACCCAGGGCCTATCTCCCCAAAACCCCTCTCTGATTATAAAATATATTGTTGATAGGTTGAAGATCACTAACCCGATATTAAGATGACTGATGAGCCAGTTTTGGGTCAACTGAGTGAAATCACTATTCAATCCCTTCTTATGCAGTCAAGATTTTTAGTATTTTTTAAAAACTTATTTTATATAGTATAACACAAATATTAAACCTCCATGTAATAAAGCGATTGAAAATAAATTATGGTTGTTTCATGTTGTTGTCTAATACTCCCATGACTTGTCCTTTTTATTTTCATAGAATTCGCTAGTGAACGTCTTGGTGCTTGTGCAGGTTTCCTAGAAACTATTTTTGATTGCCTACTCAAGTTGCCTGATCGTTTGCCTGGAACAAAAAGATTTGATGTAATTGTTTTAGTGCTTTGTCTTTTGGTAAATATGTGTGAACATTGTCCTGAAAATCGTACCCGAATTGTATATTTGGATATTACAAAATCATGTCTTAAACAAGGCTCTCCAACGAATGTGAAAGATATTAAATATATCGATACATATGATGATGAAGAGGAAGATGATGATGACGACGTAAATACAGATACAAATACTTCACGACAAGTTGTAACCACATCTGCACTTGACGAACTCATACAAGTAAGTAATAAAGCTTTTTGTTGAAGGTTTAGATCGATCCTACTTTCGACACTAACTTATTTACATTTATTGATCACTAGGCACATAGGTACATTGAAAGAGAAAGTTAATCAAAAGAATATTGTTGTTAGGTGACAAGTGGTCAAAAATTATGCTTGCTTGCCCGTCATATCATTTCATTATAATTTATCTAGATAGGTGACCATTAAGTCTCCCCTAATCATACATCTTGAACTTCTAATTTTAAGAACTCTCATGATATTGTGTATTGTACATATGTCATCGTTCATTATTCATGACGACAATAATCTAGTCTAGGCAACTAAACTCATTCAATTCATCCTGGGGATTTAGCTATGCCAAATAGACTAAAAAAATGATTTTATTAACAAGTTACCAGGGATCTCTTGTCATACTTTGGAAAGGATTAAATAGAATCAAAACACAACTTCGTTTTTCCACACTTCGCAATATTGTAGATATAAAATTAGCGTATTCAAAGTCACTTATATAATTCTTCCCAATGGATTTTGAATTAATCATCTACGTATTATGTACACTCAGTCAGTCAGCTACAACGTAGAACCAGGCACATTTATGCATCGGTCCAAGTTGCCATACCTCGTTAGCACAACAAGATCAACACCGGATTCATAGAAGTAGTTAATTTAGTGGTGGTAATATATAAAAGATAGGTTGTATATAAGGATATAGTACAGGAAGGAAGACAGATATGAAGCAATTTTAATCTCAAGGTTTAAGGGAAGATAAAGAGTGTATACACCTACGCCATTGTGATCAATTCTGAGCCATGTCACACAGAGTCTCCAATCATTGGTTACGATAGTCACGCGGACCCCAATCAACTAGTCTGCATCTACCAACATGGCTCACATTAGAAGTTAGTGACTTTAAAGACTAGTGCCATGTTTTGGTTTGGCCTTCCCATGACTCTCTTCCAACCATCCCCTACACTAGTCAACATTGCGCGTCGTGGTAATCGGTATTCAGGCATACGTAACACGTGGCCAAACCATCTCAGTTGATGAAGATTCATCACCTCATCAACTGATTTACCATCATTCCCTAATACCCTGTGTCTAACCTCACTATTACTTACCCGGTGTACACTACGGAAATACGATTTGTAAATCATAGTCCTTGCATTCAGAGTAAATTTATAATGCCACAACCACTTATTATTAGACAGTTTTTTTCTAAATTTTCTAATACTCATGTTCTGTTTTTATTTTATTCATTTATTTTAACACATAAACATTGGTAAAAGAGAGCATTGAATATATATGCGCCACACTTTGTCGTTCGATTTGTATGAGGGCTGGAATACTACCCAGATGCCCTAACCGAAGCAGGTGGATTTCTTAGAAAGCCACTCCCCGAGCCCTCCACCTAGAGGTCTAATCCACGAGACAGTAAAGCAACGATAAAAGATGCATTCTCATAGTAGCCGGTGACTAACAATAAGTTCATACGCCATTTGTTTCCTTAGGATCATGGAAACCATGTGCATCATTAATTTGGAATGAGGGTTTTCCAACTTCCTTAGGTCAATGCTCCACATTCAACAACCCGGTTAAGGTGCTGGACATTCACTTTTTGTTCTCTCAATTTTGTGAACAACACTCTCATCGTGAGAATGCAGTGAGTAGGACTTCCCTATCAGTAGCCTTGGGTTGCAGTTTCGCAATTTCCGTAAAATGTAACGTTTTTACCTTCACCATCTTTTCTTAATTTCCTCTTCAGTTCGAAGCTGGTTTGTTCTCCGCCACATTTGTTTGTTACTTATGGTTTCTGAACAATCAATCTAAAATATCTTTCATAGGCAGCTGTTTATAAATCCCTATACCTCTTTGATGACAAGTTGCATCGTCACTATTGTTATTTCTTTGTAAATTACCCATCCTACTTGTACATTCTTCTCCATTGTAGCTATTTCTCACTCGAGAAGAATGCGCACGTAACCATGATTTCGAGAGAGATGATGATGAAGCTATGGCAGCTGCGGCTGCCCGTAAACGTTCTGAAGAATTAGAAGATTTTGAAAATAATCCTAAACAATTACGTCCAGGTTATGCTAATCCTACTGTCGAAGAAGCTGGCTTGAAATGGCGTTTAATAGAGGATCGAAGAGCAATGAATCTGAATAATAGAGGATTATTAGGTAATTTTCAGTTACTTCTTTGTAGTTTAGTAATAAATGTTAGTATCCTGTTCATGATTTTAGTACCTTAAATCCTTGAATCCATTTCTAATCGGTTTTTTTCAAACCATACTCCAAGACTTAGTTTTTTTTAAATTATCGGTACTATATTATTTCGATCTTTTGTTATTCTCATCTCGTACTAATGAGCTACGGTAAATTAGGTCAACGTGCATCCCTACCAGGCTCCATGTTTATGACGCCTGTTTGTCTATCTATCGGATACTAATCCACTCCATTTTACCACCTAGATTAATCTATTTCATAACTATCATATATGCTACTTAGGCTGATAGCTATAAGTAGCATGTACCAGCAATCGGGAGTGGGAATGCCTGGCAGCAGAACGTTTAAATGAAGAGAACAATAAGGAAATCGGAGTGTAATCAAAATCACAACAGAATTGAATGAATTTTAAAGTATGCAAGGGACAACTGATAGAAGATGTGCAAATAATGTATTTAATTTGTAATTCTGCATGAAAAAATAAATTGGTTTTTCCCATCTGAGTTTCCCTTCACTGCATGACAACTACAGCAATACAGTTAAAGATGAAACTGCCATATACACGCCCCTATTTGGGCAAATACATACTTTTGGTTGTTTTTTTCTAGATCACAAAACATAAATTTGTCTAGGCATATACCTATTGTCAATTCATTTGTATTAAACTCTATGGTACATCATATTTCAGTCAGTTTACAAGGACCTGTGTGACAAAAGATGTTTGTAGCTTATTTTATTATTTTCATAGTTGAAAGCGTGAGTCAATTGAAGCTAGACCATCAGGGAAAACTTGGAAGCACTGGACAGCCGTTTCGTTCTATTATGGGACTCCTCAGCAGTGCGCATCCACGACCTCGCCTCGCGAGATTCGAACCCAGGACCTTTCAGTCTCGCACCAGAGCACTTAACCGACAGACCACTGATTATTCTATTATCATATAGAGATACTTTATTTCTCGATTGATAATAATAATAGTTGATGGTTTTGTACTTCAGGTCGTAAACAGTTTCCCAAACAAATTTCCGGCAATTGAATTTGCTTTCATCTTTTACATCATATAATTCTTTTTTTTCTTCAATAGGTCGGAATAAAAAACGATTGTACCGTAAACAAAAGTGTAAAAGTATTGTAAATAAACAACGGCAAAATATAGGGGGTTCCGATGAAGACGAGGAGGATTCCGATGATGTAGATGACTTGAATGATGATGATGATGATGATTGCATTGAAGATGATGATTTAGAAGAGAATGATGATGATGACGAGGACGACGATGATGATGAAAGCGTTGGCAGTGGTGCAGATGTTGAATTTGTCGCCGACACACAAGAGGAACAGGAGAAGTTAGCCAAAAGTATGTCTCAAGCTCAACAACATATGGAAGATTCGGTGGTGGCTGCTTATGCTGGTAAGGTTAAGAAAATTTTGACAATTTATTTGGTTATTTCTAAATTATTTACCTTTTTCCTCACTTTTATGAAGAAGTGTTTCAAACAAAGCTAATCTCAGCTCTAACATTCTTTGTTGTGTATTATGTACACTGATTTTAAGAGTTGGTCTTGGTTCTATCACTTAGTAAACTAAACTATTACCTTATTTATTATTTATTTATTTAAACACAAATATTGGTACAAAGGGGCACCAGATACATATGCGCCACACAAATCGCATTTCATTTGTGTGAGGGCTGGAATACTATCCAGGTACCCAAACCAAAACAGGTGGTTATCTTGGAAAGCCACTCCCCGAGTCCTTCACCTAGAGGTCTAATCTACAAGGCAGTGAAGCAACGTTAAAAGATGCAGTCACATGGTAGTCAGTGACCAACAATAGGTTCATACGCCATTTATCCCCTTAGGATCATGTAACCCATTTGTACCATTAATTTGTAATGAGAGTTTTCCAACTCCTCTAGATGGATCCTCCACATCCATCAACCCGGTTAAGGCACAATACATTTGGTTTTCGTCCTCTTAATTTCGTAAACAACAGTAATGCCATTAGAAAGCAGTGAGTAGAACTTCCTGGTAGAGGCTATATACGCGTGACCTTGTGGGGGCATTTCGTGAGGAAGAGAGGACTCTTCTCACTTTCAACCGTACCAGGGCATTTTTGTTTTGAAATTCCAATGTACTATATTATTTAATTGTGTTTTTAAGATTTTCCACTAACAAACATATTTCCCTGTATTTAGTTCACCATCATTACTACTGTTATCTTCTCTCGCGCTACACAACTTCAACCGATGCACTTTTGTTCCAGTTCTATAATATTATTTATGGTTAACTATATTTGTCCTCTACTCAATTATGTTTTTGTTATCAAACTCTAAGACAATATTGTTAGAGAGAGCTTAGAGAATATTAGAATTTCTTATGTTAACTTAATGTTGCATACATATTAAACAGTTCAAGTGTTGTTGTTTTTTTTTTTCAGCTCTCCTACTTGGCTGTATTCTACAATCAAGTCCACGTTATACTGATCGTATTCGATCTAAATTACCAGATGGTCAATTTCGTCCATTAGCAATTATGTTAGCTAAACTATTAAGCTTTTTATCTTTAACCAAAGGTGTAGGATCTTCAGGTTCTGAATCTATTCTACGTATTGTTAGAATATTAGAAGCACAAGATAAACAAAATACAAAAATATCAACCGATGATAATGATGGTGGTGACAGTTAATATATATGTATAATTACTATTCCTTTGCTTCATTTTTGATATTCCTTTGTTTTTTGTCTATGTTTATCATGTGTTTTATTTGTATTACTTTATCTCTTGTACGTTGTCGCCGTTATTATGACTACTATTACTATTATCATTGTTAAGTATGTATAAATGCCTAACATACATACGTACAGTTAGATAGATAGATAGATAGATGTAGAGGCGTGTGTGTGTGTTTGTTTGTATGTGCATGTATTTTCAAATAATTTCTAGATTTATTGCACATTGTTTGTTTGTTTTTGGTCTTCACTTTTCATTGTGTTTCTTTTATCATGCTTTCTCTTTCTCCTTCCCCCATCTCTCTCTGATACACCAATATTTGATTTGTTTTTCCCTCTTAGTAACAATTAAAGATAAGGTTTAAACAAAAAAAAGAGTAGTGAAATTCACATTTGACTGACTGGATACCCACAATAACAAGATTGTTCATCTTTCAAACATAACTTTCATTCTAACTGATTTCAAACACTCTTTGTTTGTGTGTGCGTGTGTGTCTCTCTCTCTATGTATAAATTGTAGATGGGAAAATCTAATTTTTTTAACATTGTGAATAAAAAGAAAATAGTCAACTATCCACTTTATCCTTTTTGTTACTTTCTTTATTCTCCTTCCCTTGAAACAATCTGATTTCTCTTTTTTTTTTACACAGATTGATGTATATACATATATAATTGAATATAAATAAATTTTTCTCTTCTTACCTTCCTCTTTCTACTTCTCGTCGTCGTCGCCTTATGCATTCAATTCATTATATATGTTTACCTTCATGTATTTGAATAGTATTTTCCTTTCCCTTCCATCCAATCATCTAGTTTATTTCGATCCTCTGTTGTTGTTGTTGTTTTTTCAATGAAAATGAAACAACAACAGCAATAACAATAAATGATCTTTGTAGTAGTTGTTCTTCTTCTTTTATTATTATTATTGTTGACACTGTTGTCACTATGTTGTGTATATTCTTCTATGAATGAATGATTGATTGATGATGAGGGGGAGGTATTTGTTTGTTTGTTCTTTTTTTTTCAAATACCCTTGTAGTGAGTTCTTTCATTGTTTGTTTCTTTTGGCATTAGTTTGTTTTGTTTAATGTTTTTAAAAATGATAATTTTCTTTAATGTATTTTATTATTATTATTATTATTATTCATTCATTCATTTTCTTTCCCCGTTTTTTGTACATGTATAACTTTGCTCGGGTATTTGATATATAAATAATAATAACATTTATTTATTTTGTAAAATATTTCACTACCACCTACACCCCCCAGCGCTCTTTGAAATTGGTCTCCTATTAAAAAAAGTAATCAGTATACTTTATAATAGTTTGCTGTGTATAACTTTGTGTCTATGAAAGATAAGTTATAAAAGTAGAAGATATGTTTGTGTTTCATAGAACTACTAAATGCCCTGGTACGGCCGAGAGTGGGGAGAGTCAGCTCTCCATCTCCAAATGCTCTCATATGACTACACGTATATAGTCTCTGCCAAGGAAGTCCTACTCACTGCCTTCTCGTGACATTACTGTTGGTTACCAAATTGAGTGGTAATTGATACGATGAAAAACGAATTTCCGGAGTTTCAACCGGGTTGGTGGACACGGAAAGTTCACCTTGGAGAGTTGGAAAACCCTGATTTCACACCAACGGTGTACATGGGCTGGCTCCAGTATCCTGAGGGAACAAATGGCGTATGAATCAATCGTTGGTCATCGGCTACCATGGGACTGCATCTCCTCACGATGCTTCACTGCCTTGTGCATTAGACCTTTAGGTCAAAGGCTCTAAGTGTGTTCCCCTAAGTAAACCACGTGCTTCAGTTTTGACACCTGGCCAGTATCACAGACCTCACACAAATCTCATTTGATTTGTGTTGTGCATATGTATCTGGTGCCCTTGTACCAATATTTATGTGTTCAAATAAATAAAACTACTAAGTGACGATTGTTGATGCATGCAAATCAGTTAATCAGATGAACCTTCATCAGTTGAGTTATGTAAGACATATGTTACATATATCTAAATACTAGTTGCTTAGACGGGCAATGTTAACTATGGTTGGGGTCGGTTGAAAGTAGGCTAGGCGCCGTCAGTCTGAAATCACTGACTGTTGGTAGATACGGTCTACCTCGTTGAAGTTCTAACAATGATTGTGAACTTAATATGACATGTTTCAGAATCCGTGACAATGGCACAGATGCATTGAGTTTCAGTATTCTTTCATCCATACCTTCTGGTTCTGTTTTAGTGGCCTTATATTTGACTCCATTTAGATCGTTTCTGATTGTTATTGAAATATACATATCCTCGTATATAAACATCGACTTAAGTCGCGTTAGTGAATTACGGAATTGAATAAGCCAGTGGGTTTTGAATGTGTATATTTCATGTACTCATTAATTTGAACAGACAATCAAGGAGACGAAACAAAGAAAGTGTGATTAGAGAAGAGAGTGAAGCGAAATGACGCCCACTGGAGAAGGCGTGTGAGCCAATTCGATTTAATCAAACTTTACTATTTATAGTCACACAAAAATAAGCTACAGACATGTGATAAGTTGAATAAGCTGTACACACACATACGTTGATATAAAAACAGTCAGGGTTGATAAGTGAATAATTAAAAAGTACAAAATGTAACTCAAGAAGGATGAATAAATTGGCTTGTCCGCAAGCTAGAATAAGGTGTATAGGCTGAACATAGCAACAAACACTACACTGTTTTATCAAACTAGATCCTCAACGTTCCGTCTTTGTCATTATCACTGCTTCCATTCGTTTCTTTAATTTCATCCCGTGCTAATTTGATAGACCTGTTATCTCGTGGCCCCCACTATTAAATAGAACAGTTAACCCTAAAAATTGGCAAGGTGCTCCTCTTGACCTTGTAATTGTTGGAACTAATTAACCAAGTAAATCCATAAACTTGCCCCCCATCACACCCTGAGATTCATACCATTTGATGATGTAATAAGATATGTTACTCTTCAGTAGTTTCTGTAAGATTCCATCATGTGTAGAAAATGATCAGTTAATATAAATCAGTGTTGTTGTTTTTTCTTCAAAATAAAAAGACATCTACGTTTTAAAATACCTACATTTTATCGGATGATCCCTGGAGTTCCCAAAAATTTACCCACCTTCGCTCATTCATCCTTTAATAAAGCCTTTATTGAAACAGTTTTTATCAAACCATTAAACTGCATGAATTACTTATTGAAAATATACGTTTTGTAGTGTATTGAATAAACCAAACAATATGTATTGACGAAAGAATGAAATAATAAAAAAACAACTGCACAATTCTAAGCTGTAATGAAACATGTTCAGTGTACCTTGACCCTTATCTGTTTATAATATATATTATGAAACTCCTCATTAACGACCCTATCAGTGATAGGATTTGAGACTCAGACCGTGCGGTGGGCCCCTAACTTCAAGACCACTCAACCAAAATCATGTCTAATATCAATCGGTTCATGATGTTATTTTAGCCGAATGCCAACACTATCAGTGCGTAGCTAATTTACATCTGATATGATTAAACATCAATTTTCACATCTCAGTAGTATTTCTAAAATTGCCCCTTGAAGTTAGTTATCAATTTCCATATGACTAGTATTACCATAGAGAATCTATGGATATTTGGAGATAACTGCCCAACATTTCGAATTGATTGAAGTTAGATACGTAGTTCAGTGAATGTCCGCTTAATTGTTTAAAGTTTAAGCACTCGACACTAGATCTTAGAGTACCTCGGTAGGTGCACATATATACACTGCCAATGAGTTCCATACCAGGCATAAATAGCCGTTTCTTGCTTTACAGTGATTCATTAACTATGATCAGTCTATGAAACAAAGTGTAAGGTTAAACAATCTCCCTACACACACCCTTCACTGTAATAATAAAAATAAATTTATGACTTCACTGAAATTAGATATTATTTTATAGTATGTGGTCTACTTTATAAACTTCCTTTAATTATCGATTCGAATTAACAAGGTTAACTTCTGTTAAGTTAAAGACCTTTAAAAGTTCGATATCATCATCTAGAACTGACTCAACTAATCAGATATCATTTGCTTTGAGTACAACCCCTAAAGATAATTAATGTAACTTTTAAACATCAATCATAGGAGGTACCATACAGTGCTCATTCATTTATGTAAAGTAATTAAATTAAACAATATGTTTACGAGTCACTAATAAATATTTTAGGGAAGGACTAAAAGTATATCTTTGTAAGCAAAGATGGATAGTGGCCAGCAGTGGAATCCAGGACGCACGTTTCGTCCTATTTGGGACTCGTCAGCTGGATGAACCTGCATCTCAGACTTGTTGATCTTCATTCTGGGACTCGAACCCAGTACCCTCGCTTCAAACGCCATCGCGTTATCCACTTGGCCACTGAGTTCTGACAGCCACTTGATTGTGCAATGGGGTGAAGTTTAAATTCACTTAGTATTGTTTGTTTGAATCTTCCCATTGAGTTTTAGAACTGCAATTGATCAGTCTCTTATTGGCCATGTGTGCATACTGTGCGTATTGCCTCGATATAGCCTTAATTCACAAGCATGGGTTCGAGTCCCAGAGTGAACATCAACAAGTCTGAGATACAGGTACATTAATCTGACGAGTCCCAAATAAAATGAAACGCGCCTTGTCCTGGATTCCACTGCTTACTTAGTTACATCATTTCTTTTTTCTAATAATGATTCTAATTCTCAAACAGATACTACTAATTTTTAATTTTCTTCATAAATCTGAATTAAACTCAAATTGAATAATAATATTAATAATAGTTCCCAGTTTTTCATCGAAGATTGTAACGGTTGTTATGGCAACTAAATAGAAAATTCAAATGTAATGAATGACAATTTAGAAAACAAAAAGAATCAATTAAGACTGAAACTTTTCAATAAGTAAAATTAATGGAAGAATAATGAAATATAGAAAC